ATCAAGTCTAACCTATGACCTAACACTATCATGGCAACTAGGCCATGGCAGTTAGTGCCACATCCAGTATTAAACACCTCCAGGGATGGTGATTCCATCATCACCCTGGGCAGCACATTCCAGTGTCTAATCATCCTTCCTGGGAAGAAATTATTCCTGATGTCCAGACTGAACCACCCTTGGCACAGCTTAAGGCTATGGCCTCCTGTCCGGTCACTTGTTCCCTGGGAGCAGAGCCTGATCCCCATCTGGCTACAATCTCCTTTGAGGTAGCTGCAAAGAGTGAGAAGGTCCCCCCTGCATCTCCTGTTTTCCAGGCTGGGCTCCCTCTACCCTCAGCCACTCCTCACAGGACTCATGCCCCACAAAGACCCTTCATTTCAAATCACACCTCACCGCAGTCCTACCCCTGCACCTTCCCCAAACCCATCACCCTGTGTCACAGGACTTACTACTGATCTCTCTGCTTCTTTCTGCTGGTTGCAACTCCACTGCACTGTAAAAGGAGTCCAACAAGGGCAACACTTGGATGTGAAATACAATTAGACTGAAAATACATTAATGAATCTGTCCCAGATCCACCACCGCATCATCTCTGCACTTCTTGAACAGATGGGATCTTCTGGCAGCCTTTAAACCACTCAACAGCACTTTCTCCCATAACAAAGCAAACTAATTACTAGAGTAAGATGCTATTTTCCATCAATTTCCCTGCTATTTTTAAGGAATCAGCCAGCTTGCTGTCTGATTAAGGATTTGCAGTGAAGCTGTTCAGTCCTTGCACAGCAGAATTAAGTGCACGTTGGCATGAAGGTACAGAACATGCTAAATGAACTTCACAAGGATTTTGCTCAGCAAATGCTTCTCTCTTTCCATTTAGGAAACTAGGGATGTGGCAGCCTGTCAGTCATGGATGCAAAGATAATCACTCCTTAGCACTGGCTTCATGTGTTGGATCCCTAAACACAGCACAGCACGGGCTGCTCTACAGACCAGCTCTGCTCTACAGACTAGCTCTGCTCTACAAAGCTTCCAAACTAATTTTTTTTCCAACTTAAGGATAATTTTTTCCTAATGCGACAATTTTCTTGTTGATCCTCTAAGTGTTTGCTTGCTATGCTGTGCATGGTTTTTCCCAAGGTAACTTCATGCCTTTAGCAGCTTCAAGATACCTGGAAATCAATGTCAAAATGATAAACTTGCCAGATTCTTCCAGGAAAGCTTCCAAAAATGGCTGCAGAGGATTACAAGGCTTAGATTAATTCCATAACAAGCCCTAAAACAGCCCGAGCTACAGCAATACCAGTTCAGACACTTGGATGAGTCCCAGACACCCAATGAAGTTAAATACTCTTAGAATAAAAATCACAATATTCAGCACCTCTGAACACACAAAGAGCTGCAGAGCAAAGCCAATAGATTTTGTAATAACGAAGCAAATTTAGTGGTAGATTTGCAATCCAGTGGGTATTTGTTGAGTGGGAAATAAACCAAAGCAGCTAGTTATGTGTTGCCTAGCTGCAGACTCTAATATGAATAGTTCCCCTGCAGGTAAATCACCTTCTATTACTTCTAAGTACCCCAGGAAAAATACTAATTGAAAACACAACTCTAACACTGTCCAGCTGGAAAACATTAGCTTAAGATGGAACTAGCTTGACACTGGCTGCCAACTGGCTATGGACAATGGAAAAGGAAATTAATCTCTTGCAGACAAGACATCCCATTTTCCACTTCTCCTTTGTAACCTTCAAATCAAGTCCTTATTAACCAAAGGCTTTCATTCCCATGGGGAAAGAAAACCATCAGAGCATTCATGATAAGGCAAGTCTGGGGTTCTTGCATTAAAATGAAGACTCACATTTTGACACAGTGGATGGCAGGATGGTTCCAGTCCAACGATGCAAACCTTTCACTCTTTTCTTGGCTAAGAGTTAAAGAACTGCCGAAGTACAAAGTAAACACAAAGGAAAACGCAGTTGTCCAATTTTGTATCATCTCAGCCATCTTCCTGCAGCTCCCTCCTTCTAGGAGCTGTTTTCCCATGCAGGTGAAAAGGCAAGAGGAGAAAACTCCAAGTTTCTTGCCAGGGTTAAACCACAACACCCCTAGACATCCAGACTGGGACTTCACTTCTATTTAAGTTCATTTCCATATGGCATCCAACAGGCCAGACTGTATCTGAAGTGACATCCACCAAACCCACGAGCTTCCTGAGCCTCCTCTCCCTTCCTGACACACTCAGGGCCTTTCATGACTACTTTTATCCCCTACCCAACTTCTCCAAGATGATAAAAACTATATAAACCCCATATAATATAGCAATTCTCCCTGTCACAGAAAAGCATTCTTGTTCTGAATTCAGATCTTCCACCAGATAATGGCAGGTGTCCCTACCCATGTCAGGGGCTGGAACTGGATGATCTTTAACGTCCCTTCCAACCCCAACCATTTATTCTATAAAGGTACTTGCTGGCACAACTTTCCATGTTCATGTTCCCTACTTGGCTCCACGTTACTGAACCATATTTGTGCCATTTGCATGAGTCAGCACATCCCATTTATGCTTGAATTTGATTAAAAACATGTGATGAGTTATCAGCACAGAGAGCAATTAGCAGTTGGTAACAATTTCTGGGTCTAAAAAATGCTATTTCTCCACAGTCTTAATTAATATGCTTAAAAGCAGCTTCTCTGTCCGTTTTTGAGTACCCAAGAAGGTTCAAGTGAGATATGGAAGATGATGGCAGATATGGAAAAGCAAGGAAGCTGAGAGAAGAATGAAATCCTGCCTGTGGTGCTGCTTATGGAAGCACTTCAAAAGGGAAGAGTTCAACATTGCTGTAATCAAGGAAGAAACTGAGAAAAGAGAAAGCAAAGAGGTACAGAGAACTCAAACAACAAAGCCCAAATGAAGAGGCAAAAGTGCTGCCAGCTGAACAAGAGGGGAAATAACACACTCCTCAGAACAGAAGAGATCCAAAGTTTATCTTCTTTGTAGTTCGAGTGAGACAATTTGTCAAAGAGATCAAAAAGTTTGGGACAGCTTTGTTCTGGCCTGATCCCACAGGAGAGGTGTTCTAAGCTAGTTTACTTCCAGAAAATGGAAGAAGGGGAAGGGAAATGCCCCCAGACAGACCGACTGCAACCCAAACCCATCAGCACTCAGGCTACAGCCTCCCAGATCCGCCTCCAGCCCGACGGGAACATCTATACACATCCCACAGCTTCTTTGATGAAGCAATGAAAAAGGTTCAGTCTCGTTTGCTGAGTGACAATCCCATTTTACAAGTATGGATTTCCAGGCCTTGGTGAGCTATTAGAGCTAATGACTTCCAGTGCCTACCAGCCTCGTGACAGAGGCAGAGAAATTATACAAACTCAGAAAAACTGAAGGATCTGAAGTCAAAGAGAGGAGAACGACTCAGAGGCTCCAAGGAGAAGTCGCAGAGACTCAAGTGCCCCAAATTACTGAGGACCCTCCAAACCAGGGATGAGACAGAGGAAACAGCCTCAAGTTGTACCAAGGGATATTTAGATTGGATATTAGGGAAAATTCCTTCATGAAATGACTGTCGAGCCCTGGCACAGGCTGCCCAACACAGTGGTGGAGTCACCATCCCTGGAGAACCTTAAAAGCTGTGTGTAAGTGGCACCTGGGGACACGGTACAGTGGTGGCCTTGGCAGTGCTGGAGGAAAGGTTGGACTTGATGACCTTAGAGGCTTTTTCCAACCTAAACAATTCTATGATTCTATATAGTGAAAAGCTGTTTCTACACAATGTGCACCCAGAACATGGTGCAGTACACCAATCAGGTGGAAAAAGAATTACAATTTGCCAGGAAACACAATATTCACACCAAAATAAGGAAGAGCTAAAGCTATACAGGAAACCTTAATTGAGGTTCTTCCTTATACTAAGGCCAAGACTTCAACAGTATTACTCACCAAACAGAAGTTTTGGGGTCAGACTGTTTTCATGTGCTCTGCAATAATTAAAATTCAATTTTTTTTAAATAGAAAAGCAGAACTTGCTCTCTTGTCACAGTAAGAGAAGGGAAGAAAATTAGTGCTTGGAGTAATCGCAGAATCATAGAATGATCTGGATTGGAAGGACCTTACAGACCATTGAGTTCCACCTCCTGCCATGGGCAGGGACACCTTCCACTAGACCAGCTTGCACCAAGCCCCATCCAACCTTGCCTGGGACACTTCCAGGGATGAGCCAGCCACAGCTTCTCTGGGCAACCTGTGCCAGTGCCTCACCACCCTCACAGAGGAAAATTCCTTCCTACATCTAATCTAAATGTCCCCTCCTTCAGCTTAAACCCTAATGAGGAAGACTTCCAAAAAACTTGAGCCTAAATAAAACAAACTAATCCATCTGTCTTAGGGAAGAAAAATAATCAGTGTTCTCAGGTTGTTAATTTTTTCTTTTTGTATTCAAGCGTGTGCTAGCCAAAGCATCACAACAAAAACACCTTTTATTTCATTTGTTGACTTTTAAATACGTTTTTCCTAAAAATATAATGTGTCAAAGAACATGCCAGCCTAGTGTAAGACAATGATTTCCCCATGCTCCTATTTGCTCATCACAAGATATGCTGGAATATATATATATTTAATCAGAAACACATGATGATTATATTCCTGTTTGCTTTGAGATATCACAGACAAAGGGTTTCTATTTGCAGCACCTACAGCTATTTGCAGCTATATGTTCTCTGGTGTAAAGCTGAATTCTTCTCTATTACAAGGCATAAAAACTAACAAGGCAAAACCAACATCTCATACCCTACATCAGTATCACATTTATCTCAACAAGCCTAAAAACTGTAAGTGAATATCTGAAGGGATAAAACCAAATTCAACTGGTACCTGTTGGCCCTCCTAGACTTATAGTTTCTTGCGGGTATATAAAAAAAAGAGAGGATTTGGGATTACAGTGTTAAGCATCCATGATGAATTTTGAGGACCATCCTAAAGCCTCAGCTCTCACCTTTATGCTTCCCCCGATGAGATCTGGTGGTTCTTCATCTGTTTCTAAGGCAACGTTGATGGAGGCGAAGGGGCGACTTGCCATCTGTTGCATCTCACGCAGTAGTTGCTAATTTAATAAACAGAAAAATATTATCATCAGATTGTTCCAACACAGAGATGAAAAAACCCCAACTTATCTAAAAAGCTTTACCCAATACAAAAGGATATAAATGAATAGTTTTAAGAGTGCAGATAAAATGGTAAATATTCATGTTACTACAACTTATTGCAATTGAAGCTTCATGTACAGGCCTGAGCTTGACTCGTTTGCGAGGGGAAAAGTTCTGCCTGAGTCTCCATAAAGCAGTTATTTCCTTCTGAAGCTGTTGTTTGTCATCACCTGTCTGATTCCCACTCCATAGGATTTGTGGAAATCATTTCAAAATTAAACTACCAGCAGCATGTAACTCCTACAAGAATGAATTTGGTATTTCATATAAGAGCACCTGCAAAATGCTGTCAGGCTGCTATTGAATAATCTTCCTCTTTTTTTTATTGTTTCCCTGCTGAATGCAGCAAATGTATCATATGGCAAACATGGCCTTGTTGCAAAATGTTTTATTTTAATCAAAACCCTCTTCCTGGGTAAATCCCTGCAAGCCTTCATGAGACAAGACATCTTATTGTGCTCTTAAGCACTTTGAAGCATTACAAGGCAGCTCCCCCTTTTTTTAACATACAGAAAAAGACACATTCTACACAGCTGGGCTGGAAAGAGCATTTCAATTTGAGCTGAACTATGGACACACTTCTTTTTGGCTTCAGTGACTAATCTGTAATGGAACAGCACAGCCTGTAAGGGGATGCAGGACCAGAATTCCCTGAAGCAAGGGGTCTGATGTGACTCAATGCCTCTGTTTAATAAGGGAAGAGGCAAACACTTTATACAGCATGTGAAAAATCACTGGTCTTACCCTTAAGTGCAAAACCTGCCCAAGCCACTTGTACACAGCTTTGCACATTTACCAGCACTACTTATCTACCGCAATACCAGTTATCCTCTATTTTCAAGGTGGATTGAGGCACTGCCAACCTCTTTCTGTACTTCCCAACATCACTGCAGCATTTTCCCATTAGTTCTGGGCAATTGGACACTCCAAGCCCTAACTGATCATTTACAGAGTTCAAAAAGTGCTAAAGAAAACACCACAAAATGCTTGATGCCCCAAATATCCCCATCCAGCACAGCAGGACAGAGCACACAGGTGGAAGGAAGATGCTGTTATCCAGACATCTTGTTTGGACAGAACTAATTCCTAGAATCATAATATCCCAGAATGGTTTGGGATAGAAAGGACCTAAAATACCATGGGCATGGACACCTTCCACTAGACCAGGTTGCTCCAAGCCCCATCCAACCTGGCATGGAACACTCCCAGGGATGGGGCAGCCACAGCTTCTCCGGGCAACCTGTGCCAGTGCCTCACCACCCTCACAGAGAAGAATTTCTTCCCAATACCCCATCTATCCCTGCCTCTGACAGTGGAAGCAATTCTCTCTTGTCCTGTTACTCTGGGCCCTTGTAAATAGTCTCTCTCCATCTTTCCTGTAGGCACCTTCAGGTACCAGAAGGTCACAATTGTCACCTCAAAGCCTTCTCTTTTCCAGGCTGAACAATCCCAAATCTCTCAGCCTTTCCCCACAGCAGAGCTGCTCCATCCCCCTAATCAACTTGGTGGCCTCCTCTGGAGTCACTCCAACACATCAGTGTCCTTCCTGTGCTATCGGATATCGATAATTATATTATCATTTTCTTAAATTTATAAACAGAGTCACTGAATCATAGATCTGGCCAGGTTGGAAGGGAGCACAGTGGGTCACCCACTTCCACCTTCCTGCTCAAACCGTGTCATCCTAGAGCACGTGGCACAGCATTGTGTCCAGATGATTCTGGAATGTCCCCAGTGAGGGAGAATCCACATCCTCTCTGGGCAATCTGTTCCAGTGCTCAGTCAAAAGAAATTCTTCCTCATATTCAGGTGGAACTTCCTGTGCATCAGTTTCTGCCAGTTGCCTCATGTCCTATTGCTTGGCACCAGTGAGCAGAGCCTGATCCATCCTCTGACACCTCCCTGCAGATACTGACAGACATGGATGGGGTACCTCTCAGTCATCTCTTCTTGAGACTGAGCAGGCTCAGCTCCTTCAGCCTTTCCTCATACGAGAGATGTTCCAGTCCCTTCATCACCTTTGTAGCCTCTGCTGGGCCCTTTCCAGGAGCTCCATGTCTCTCTTGTCCTGAGGAGTCCAGAACTGGACATAGCACTCCAGATGTGCCTCACCAGGGCTGAGCAGAGGGTCAGGATCACCTCCATCGACCTGCTGGCAATGCTCTCCTTAATACACCTCAGGATCCCACTGACCTGCCTGGCCCCCAGGGCACACTGCTGGCTCATGGACAGCTTCTTGTTCACCAGGACGTGGTGGTTATTCCTCCCCAGGAGCAGGACCCTGCATTTACCTTTGTAGAACTTCGGAGTTCTTCACTGCCTCTCTCTCCAGCCTGTCAATGTCCTTTGAAAGGGCTGCATAGCATTCTGAGTAATTGTTCACTCTTCCCACATCATCAGACTTGCTGAGGAGGCATTGACCCCTTTGTCCAAGTCATTGACAGATAAGTTAACCAATACTGGGCCCAGTATTGAACCTGGGGAAACACCACTAGTGACAGGCCTCCAACTACACCCTGTGCCACTGATCATGGCCTTTTCGGAACATTCTCTGGCATTTTCTCTGCCAAGCCACCTATTATTTGGGGGTTTTTTTGTGCAGAAAACTAGAGGACTGTCTCTGTAAGCCTGGGGTCCAGGCAAGGCATGATGAAGATAATGCAGATAAAACATGGGGGCTTGCAACAAGTTCAGAGGAGGCCACAAAGTTGATAAGAGGACTGGAGCATCTTCTCTATGAGGGCAGGCTGAGAGAGTTGGGGCTGGTCAGCCTGGAGAAGAGAAGGTTGCGTACAGACCTCAGAGCAACCTGCCAGGAGCTGAAGGGGCTGCAGGGAAGCTGCAGAGGGAACTCTTGGTTAGGAACAGCAGTGACAGGACAAGGAGTAATGGGGAGAAATTGAAAGAGAGGAAATTTAGATGAGATTTTAGGAAGAAGTTTTTCCCTGTAAGGCTGGTGAGACACTGGCACAGGTTGTGCCCAGGGAGGCTGTGGATGCCCCAGCCCTGGCAATGTTCAAAGCCAGGTTGGGTAAAGCTTTGAGCAACCTGGTCTGATGGGAAGTGTCCCTGCGCAGGGCAGGGGGTTGAGGCTAGTTCATCTCTAAGGTCCATTCCAAACCCTTAACATTCTATGATTCTATATAAGCTTTTATGGCTCTCAGTATATAAAATTTCTCCACCATAAAAGGCATATGAGAAACTTTTCCTTAATTTGTGAAAGAAAAAATAAAAGGCAGGAAAAAAAAAGGCACTTTGGAGCAGATTGTAGATACTGTCACAAAGCAAAAAACCCAAGGAATTTGCACAAACCGAGGCAACACAAAGGTTTGTAAGCAAACTTGTGTGTAACTCACACTTGGGTAAAAGGCCATGAGGAGTTTGGGGATATTTAAAGCACACCAGCAGATTGCAGACGAAAGCAAGTGTGAAACAGATTGCTGGGTTGTTGTTCCTGTAATTGTCCCCTTCAGCTATCATAAACTGCTTTGTTTAATGGCTATAAAATCAACGAACAAGCTGTCCTGATGAAGATGTCCAAAAGACTGACAAACTGAAGGCTTTGAGTTGTGCAAAGGAAGTTATTTTACTGAAGAAAATGTGCAGTTTGGCAACATGACTCTTCCTGAAGTCAACAAGAACTTCAAGAATATAGAATCATAGAATGGTTTGGGTTAGAAGAGACATTAAATCCCACCTTGTTCCAACCCTCTGCCATGGACAGGGACATTCTCCACTAGACCAGGTTGCTCCAAGCCCCATTCAACGTGGCCTGGAACCCCCCCAGGGAGGGGGCAGCCACAGTTTCTCTGGGAAACCTGCACAAGTGCCTCACCATCCTCACAGCCAAGAATTTCTTCCCAATATCCCTTCTAACCCTGAATTCTGGCAGTGGGAAGCCATTCCCCCTTATCCTGTCCCTCCAGGCCCTTGTCCCAAGTCCCTCTGCAGCTCTCTTGGAGCCCCTTTAGGCACTGGAAGGGGCTCTAAGGTCTCCCCAGAGCTTTCTCTTCTCCAGGCTGAACACCCTCAGCTCTCCCAGTCTGGCTCCACGGCAGAGTGGCTCCAACCCTTGAATCACCTCCATGGCCTCCTCTGGAGTCGCTCCAGCAGCTCCACATCCTTCTGATGTTGGTGCCTGAGACTGCAGGTGAGGTCTCACCTGAGCATAACAGTGGCCAAACCAGGTAAAACCAAAGGCCAAGCTGCAACCAAAGCAGCAAATGTCCTAGCACCAGCTTCTGGTGTAGCACAAGTCATGTCTCAAAGTTCCCCCTATAAATTAAGAATTAATTTGAGAAATAATTGTTCTCTAACCTGAATGTCACTCTCTCCCCCAAGGCATGCCTGTGCCTGTTTAACCTGGGCACGTATCTACCCTTCAATGTTTGTTTGGTGTGTCAAAATTTTAATTAAAAGATTTTATGATGTTGTAAGGGAGAAATTGTGACTTTTCCTCAGCCAAGAGGTTGAGCCTGACATTAGAAGTCAGCAGCAGTTAACATCAAGATACCCCAGAAGCTGCTTCCCCCTCACTCCTAATGATTGGCTTTCTGAGATTTCAAATAATGAACCTCTAAACTCTTTCAAACCAACCTTTGGTTTCCAGATGACACAATTAATAGGACAACATGGGAATATTTGATATCACTAAGGTCTGAAGAGGATTTTAAAGGAAAACATTTGACAGGCTTACAATGAAATCACATCAAAAAACATGTCCTGGAACACAGCACTGGCCTTTAATATTTAAATAACTGCAAACTGTGAGAACCTGCACAACTTGTATATGCATTGACTTTTATTGGTTTTTCCATATCAAAGGATCATGGAATGGTTTGGGTTGCAAAGGACCTTACAGACCATCAAATTCTACCCTTCTGCCATGGGAAGGGAC